TCAAGTAAGGAAGTGGAATAAATAAACTAATAATTGATCAAAATATATTTTAAAAAAACTGATGGTCAAACCAAAAATGCTAAAACAACCACCCTAAACTCCTCAACCCCATTTCTAAAACTGGAGTGAAGCAATCTAAAGTTCCACAAGAAAGATTCATTTAAATTACAGTTTCAACTGCTTCTTACCAAAGTTTTTTCGTGAGTGAACTAAAGAGACAAAAAAATGAAAAAAAATTTCAAATCTGTTACTAAAAAAGCAGAAATAAATACAACTGAACTCCGCAAATTTGGAGGTGTCAAAAAAGACTAAAGAAAAAATTAAAAAATCTCAAATACTGTACCGAAAAAGTTAAGAAACTGCTTCTACATAACCATTGGAGCTTCTAAAGCTGCTGCAGATGACCTCGACTGGGGATAAGGAGGAGGAGGCGGAATCGGATTCCAGCTAAAAAGAATAAATTTAAAGGTAATCATCATAACCGCTAAAGAGCATGCTAACTCACAAAGTAACTCAGTGCTATTATTCAAGTCAAGTAAAATGGTATTATATCAATAATAATTATTTGAGCCGAAAATTCCAGCCGTTTTGCTGAAAACTCAAACCCTGGTTTATCATCATGTTGAAATTTTCAACACACAATTAGTATTCAGATTTCATCCAATGTAGTGCCTGATCTAAGGTAACCATTTGAGAAACCGAAAGTAATTAAAAAACAACATCTACTTCAAAAACTACAAAATGAAATGTTACCCCGTATGCACCGCCTGCTGTTCAGCTATATAAGGAGCATATTGTCGGAAAATTGAATGTTCCGGATGGCAGCCACCATGATAAACTTCTGTTTGCTGGAAACACTGATCTTCGTCACCAAAAACGGCTTCTTCAAAAAAGTCGGGATGGTAAGAGTGATGAGTGCGGACGTCGGATAAAGCAGATGCAGTATTTATCAGCGGTGTCCTCATATCTCTGACCTTTTCGGAGACGGGCTCCACTCTGCACTCATCACCAGTTGCTTGAACCAAATCTGATGAAAACTGTGAAGTTCCGAGACTACCAGAATCAGCAGGTGGTTGCGTTCTAATGTTGGTACTTTGGCCCAATAGTTCTCTTTTCTCTTGCTGATGCTCTTGCAACAACAATGACATAAACGGAAAATCTTTAAACGACGCATCATTTGAATTTTGGTTAGAGCAAAAATTAATTGGTGAAGTTTGCGTCACCTGCTCTGCAGCGAGACCCACAGGACTTCCACTAGCCTGCTGAGCATGTCTTGCTCTTACCTGCTGAAAACCAAGTAGATAATACAAGAGTATTTGTACACTATGCCTATCTTTTTCAAAAATTATTCAAAAAATGTTATTTGAAAATTACTTGAAGAGCAAGTTCGTAAGAAGGAGGCTGCTTATTTTCAGCGCTAAGTGGCCGAACGCCAAGTGAATGAGCATGATGTAACATTACAGATCCATCACTGCCAACGTCATACTGCAAATAAAATTAAACCGTGTAAAATAATTTCATTGAAAAGCAGGATTCTCCGCACAAAAAAAAGCACTATGCTGGGAGTTAAAAAATCCCAATAATTTTGGCGCGTACTGTGGAAAAACAGCTATGAAATACTCTTCTTTTCGCATTAAAGAAATCAATGGAATTAAAGATGGAATAATTTGAAAAGTAAATTAATATTTTTCCATAGACAAGTAAATGTAATCTTTCTTCATTTAAAACACTATAAGTAACAATTCTGGTTCACAAGAGAACAAGTACTGCGAAATAAAATAGATTCCAAAAATAAAACCGTAATGACAATGGATTTCATAAAAGTCAAACAAAAAAAACTTACAAACTGAATAATAGGAGCCGGATGCGCTGGCATACTCTGTACCCGATTGATTCCCGTAGTATTTGAGGGACGAGACAAACGAGTTAGACAGCGAGGGTGCTTCTGAAACTTGCCTGGCAATCCAGAGTTGTACATCGATACTTGCTGCGAAGGAGCAAGAGGCAGCTGCTGCATCGAAAGATGAAGAGCTGGGGGAGGAGAAGCAGACCTAGACATCTGAAAACAAAAAATGTTAGCAAGAAATTGTGCAGACATAAATTAGGTTAATGTGCTGTACATCTGAATAACTTAGTTGTTCCGAAATTGCCTAAACTTTCTGCTAAAAAGATTTTATTTTACAAAAATTTTCCAAAAATGTCCAAAAAAATTCATTTATAATACAATAGATTTTGCCATCGTGGTTTAAGAAACTTCCTCTTGGACAGACATATTCCAGAATATTAATAACCTGTAAATCAGATTCTGGCTCTGATCGTGCCCCAGTTTGGAAATAACGAAACTGCTGATAACGATCCGTGTTACTAAAATCTAGTGGAGCACTAACTCCAGCAACAGTTTTCCACCTTTGCTTGATGTGACCCTTAACCATTGCGGGAGAACGCCCATTTGAAGCTAAATTTCTACTCAGAGCAACAGCTTCGGCATAAACAGGCGGCATTTTTATCCCCACATCGCGCGGTGAATTTTCCCGAAGCGCTTCGCCACATGTCGGCCAAGTAGTACAAGCTTCTTCTGATGGCCTTTCGCCAGATTCCTGACAAGTTAACAATCAAGGCTTTAAAATTTGAAACTTTATATATACAAGACCAACCACGCAATATCTAAATAAATTTCCATTATCCTTTCATTAAAACAAAGCAGCTTACGTAAAAAGTGCCAGAATTGACCAAATTAGGAGGCGAACGCTGGAGAAGACCCAGAGAAGCTGAATCAGACTGTGTGTCAGGCACCTCAACAGCGCTTCGAAGAGGGCTCTCGATCGCGTCAACACACACGCATGAGTCTGTTTCAGAATAGCCAGTTAAAGATAATGGAATCTGAAATTAAACAAGTAGAAATTGCAATGAAGGTCAAACCTGAATTTAATTTGCTAATACATAATTAGGTGCTAAAAGTGTCGTGCGACAAATTCTGTATTTCTTAGGATAAAGGAGGCGGCAAAAAAAAAACAAAAGTTTGGGCAAAATCTTGAAAAAAACTTCAGTCACAAGAAGTGGGCGTTAAGGATTACCCCTAAATTTATATCGTCTTCAATCACTTCACCATCAGCAATCAAAGTTCTTGATGAACCAGGAGGAGTTTGACTAAGTGACTCATATTTCGTCTTTTGGTTCAAGTGAAGAGCCAGAAGCTGCTGTCTGAAAACTAAAAAGTTGTAGCATTTTCAAGTCTATCACAAAAATGAAAAATGAGGCTTTTGAACGGTAGCTTACTCTTCAAACTTTTCACAGGAGCAAGCCTCAGTTGTTTGCCTTCCTAACGAGGTATCAATAGGCGGTGGTTTGGGGAATACTTGCTCAATAAGAGATTCAGAAGCCGGAACTGAAGCGGCAGGAATATTATCAATTAAGGAAATCTTTCTCACTGCAGTTTCTAACACGTTTGTTTTAGAAGGTTCTTCATTATTTGGTTCCGGAGAGCTAACTGAAATTCCTTCTTCACTTGAGATTAATCGTAAGTCGGTGTCATTTCGATTTGGCTTTTCCACTTTTCGATCTTCTTCACTACTCTTTTGCACCGTGTGCTGCTCATTTTGTTCCCCAGCTGACTTCGGAGAAACGTTATTAGAAGACAACTGTTCCGTATTACCACTATTTAGTGCCCAATCGTAATCTAAAAGACTCAACGACAAAGTACAACTTGAAACGTATTCTAACCAAAAAAAGTGAACCTATAAAAAAAATTACCTCTTTCAGCTTCGCTGCTGGGTTTATCGGAAACAACACCTGATGTGCTGTTGCTAGACACCCTTGACACAGGCGACTGACGAAGAAGTAACAGCTCCGTTGGTACTACTTCAGGAGATAATAACAAAGAGTCTTTGGTCGCTAAAAAACAAAGCAGATAGAGATGATTAAATAATAAACTTTCCGCCGAAATGGGTCCTATTTAAGTAAAAAAGTTTCAAATGGCAACGTACGTTCAAATCTTTCTCTACAGGAGTAAAAATATTGGTTTATCCGAAGAACAGCTTGATGTACAATTTTACAAAATTCGAATAGATAACGAGCTTTTTCTTCAGAATGTGCATATAGGCTAGTACAACTTCCATTAGCACCTAGCATTTTTAACTTCCTTTTGTTAAAGCTTAATAATACAATATCTCCCCACGGCAAAGTCCGCCTCAAATTTCGTCCACCGTCGTCACCAACATCAGACATTTCTAATCCACTAAAAAAGCACTCGGGTACATGAAAACAATGTCAACATACTGAAAGCACTAAAGAGGTATAAAAAGCAAATCTTTTTCACTAACTTAGGCATTATCCCAATAAAGGCGTTATCGACCGTATCAACTTTATACTGTCTCAAACCATACAAGTGGCAATTTAGAGCGAACGGACTGCTATAAAAATACGACTTGAAAAAAGGTAGAAGATAAAAAAAATATTACAAGAAATAAACGGTTAGAAACATTCTCTATAAAACTGCACAAAAAATAAGTAATAATCACCTAGATGCCTGCTCACAAAACTCTTGAATAGCTTCTTGTTTTGAACGCACTTTCTGGCCATTCTCAATGTTCCTCAAATTCCGACGAACATAGTCTAGACCACGGGTGTTAATAACCCATAATGGGAAATACTGCTCAGGACGAAAAGATCTTAAAAAGTTAGAAAGAAATATACCTTGAACTGAGTGTTGCACAGTAACTGTATTAAATCACTAATGAAGTGCTTACGAAGATTTCGCAGCTTTATTGCTCTCAGTCTGGTCGTCATTTAGAGAATCTGCCTCATAAGCCACAGATGCCATCTTCCAACAACGCTCTTCAGATACAGACTCAGGAGTTGACCACTGATCAAGAAGATTTTCTCTAAGTTGCTGGTAGTAGTACTGAAGCACTACAGGACACCTTAAAATGATTAATTTTTATATGAACCAAGTTTAATAACTTTAAACTAGCTAATCTTCTATTAGAAGAAATAGGAGAAACTGATTTTAAAAAAATTGCTAAAAAAACAGTAAGAAATATAAAATGTCTTGAAAATTTTAAAAATATATAACTGGTACTATAAACAAAAAAATTACTTACGTTTCTGTTACTGATTTATATAGCATATATCTTTAAACCATATTAATAAAAATTACCAAAACGATAATGGCAATTTTCTTTACCTTATGGTATGTGCATCAGGTAAATAGATACGAACACGAAGATGGAGCACTAAAAATGGACGACCCTCCAAATGAGACACCTAAAAAAACCCACTTGTTAGCAAAAATAACTAAGAAGGATCATAAAATAAAGAGAAATTGTTCTGACTTGGCTTAAACAGTGCTTACCACTTTACTATTCCTTATACCCTAACCAGATCATAATTCTTTTTATTTCATTTTTTCATTTTCACATGTCCTACAGTTGGTTCCTCTCGTTGACCAGGTTAAGGTCCACGCTAGATATTAATTTTGCACGCTGCACTAACAGTAAATCAAGTAACCTTTCAAAAATTAACCAACTGTCTTTTTCAGGAAACACTTGTTCAGAGAACCCTCTGGACATTCTGATGTACAGCGCCTTATGCTTCTTCTTTCTCAATAATGCTCACAAGATGTGAGTAAAAGAGCAAGAACTAGTTGAAACCCAAAGGTAAATTGAAAAAGCAACTGAGATTTTGCTTAGGCTTTGGAAAAGTTAAGATGGCATTGCACTTTCCAAGATGGTCTACATTTTCCTTAAAAAGGGATACACCTTCTGAAATAGCAAAGAATAAGTCAAAGTTAATTAAACGGACGACTATAACTTACCCAAGGATAACTAAAGCGCCAATGTTTAGGACCATACTTTGCCACCTTAGAGTCAAAATCCAAAAAGTAGTACTCATGACGTGGCCGATCACCACCAAGTCCTTCGGAAGGAACACGAGACGCAAGGCCTAACAGTATACTCTCCTTCATCTTCAGATGCTCACAGCAACACAGATAAACGTCCCGAACTCTACATTTTGGCTAAAAAGAAAAAACAAAATAATCATTACAGAGGCTTCAATAATATGAATAAAAATAGTAAGTGCATAAAAAATGTTTTTTATAGATGAATTAACTGCTCAGATTGCGTTCACAGTCCATTAACCAAAACCAAAAGCTTTATAAACGACAAAAAATGCAATACAAAACGCAACAATAAAAACACACAAAAACCACGAAAAAAAATGAAGAACTCACGTGAACAGCCAAAGTTATAGTTTCTTTAAAAAGTGTATGAACTTGTAGGCATTTTAGTCCGGACGGTAAAGCATGTTGTAAAGAATTAATGATATAGACAAGCGATGAATTGTAGGCTGGCAATTTACCCGATTCCAACTCTTCTTTCGGATTGTCATTTTGCTCAACAGAAGTTGATGATGGCACACGAGACGTCGTTTGTAGGGATTCAAACCATCCTCGCTTCCCTACCATTAATACTGCAAATATGTCAGTGTTAAATGTCGAAGAATAAATAACCAAAAAATAAAAAAAAAGCACATGTACTACAAAAAAACCAACAGATACACCACATATGTGCACAAAATAAAAAACTTCAGTTAATTAACTCTGCTCATGTCATTTTCTCTGCAAAAAAAAAAAAAGAAAAAAAAAAAACTGAAATTTCTACAAGTTATGATCTCTGGCAAGAAAAATCATATCATTTCATGGTTCAAGTGCAAAGTGAAAAAGTAATATCCGTATTCTGAAAAGCAGTATTATCACAGAGCAGCGGTTATCATTTACAATTACAACTACATGGTAACTGTGCAACAATTAATAATCTATATCCGGTGATCAACATCGATATATACCCAAAAAAGTGCTAAACCAACTGTACTAGTACCAAATGTTTCATCAGTTACAATACAATCACTCATTAATTGTACATTCTAAAAATGGACGTGAAGAAAAAAGACAATTCCACTAACAGTACTGTCCAATCGTACTAAATGAAAAAGTGAAAAAAATTGAAACATCAAAGATGAAGCAGAAATCGCCTTTCCCATAAAATTGAACATCAAATGACAAAAAAAAAAAAAAAACGTTGAAAAGAGAGAAAAAAAACGTACTTTTAAAAACTGTAAATGCAGCAAAAGAGTACCCGATAAATTCTTAAGAACTAAAAAGTCAAACAAAAAACAATCATTTTTTTCTTTTTTTTTTTTTTGTCCTTCTTCAAAAGAATAAAGAGTGTTGTAAGCCAAGGTACTGAGCTAACTTTAAAAAAACTCAAAAATAAGTAAATATATAAATAAATAAATGGTTTAATGGTTTAATAAATAGCTAAAAATGTATATTAAAAAAATAAATAAATAAATAAAGTAAAACTATAATCTGCACATTAGCCGAAGTTTGATCACTGTCATCATCATCGTCATCTCCCACAGCTTGGTCTTCGAAGGAAAAGAAAAAAGAAAACCGAGAAAACATAAAAGAAGCAAAGAAAGAAAAAAACTAAGAAAGGAAATAAAAAATTTTATCAACAAATAAAGAAAACAAGAAAAAAAAAAAAGAGAAAATTTTAAAATTAAATAAAATACAAGAAAAAAATTAATCGCAAATTTTGAAATTGAGAAATTTCTTCTCCTATGAATAACCAAATAATAAAGAATAAATAATAATAATAACAACAACAACAAAAGAATAATAGAAGAAAGTACAATAAAAGTACATTACAAGCCAAAATGAAAGCTAAAAAAGTTGTATACCCGTTGTTGACGGGTACAATATTACCACAACAACAACGCAAACAGCGGGATACAAAATCAACCAACACCGTTTCTGAAGATCACAAATTTCAGGAATACCAACCGTATCAGTACAAATGACCATCGATGACATTACCGACAACATATAAGTGACCACAGTTTTACTTCATTGCAAACACTGATTAACTGACTAGATGACTAAATAACTAACTAACTGACTAATTAACTGACTGACTACTGATTGAGTGACTGAGTGACTGAATAACTAACTGACCGACCAACTGACCGACAGACCAATCGCTCGATCGCCCAGCCGACCGACCAAGCGACCGATCGACAAATCAAGTGACCAATTCGTAGATAAATAAATTTAACCAAAGAATCACAAGAAACTTCTGATATGCGATGTCTTCATTGAATCCAAAAATTTACCTCTACTATCAGGAAACAGTTTGATACACAGTAAAAACAGTGGCACAGCAGCTGCTTCAAACGACAAGGCTTATAAAAAAAAAAA